CTTTACTGTCCATCAGGAAACTCTGTATCGACATCAAACCTAAAAAAACAACCTCACGCAGACGATGGTATCTGATCTAAAAACGCCCAGAGGAACATTCTACTGAGCGTAGCATCAAAACGACTTTGAAGCTGTTATTTTAAGGTAGAAAAGTTACATAATGTTGCTTAAAGGCGAACAGACGGTTTGATTCATGTCGTTTTCACTCTCAACAATCTCCACCAGCATCTCAAACACAGCTCTCATTGTGGTTCGTCCGACGTACGGGAGCTCCAGCGAGGCCGGCAGCCTGCCTACGGAGGCCGCAGCAGGTTCCCTCCCGTCACACAGGACCTCCTCCGGGTCTAATCCCCCTTTATATGAGAAGACTGTTCAGTGGGGTCTACGGGGGCTCAGTCTGCGTGGCTGTGCGACACATCACTTCCTCATGATGAGACTGTGTGACAGGAAGGAAATGTTTGTGTCACAGGAAGTCAGTTAATTGCTATAATCCTCCCTCCAGGCTAAAGACTGTCATTATAAATGTAGACTGTTCATGGTTAGAGACCCGTCACCTGAGCTCCACAACACAGCTGCTTCTGCAACATAATACAGATACATATACTCTTCTACATATACTGTGATATATATACTGTAATATTATACTGTGATATATATACTGTGATATATATATACTGTGATATTATACTGTGATATTATACTGTGATATATATATACTGTGATATATATACTGTGATATTATACTGTGATATATAAACTGTGATATAATACTGTGATATATATACTGTGATATATATATACTGTGATATTATACTGTGATATATATACTGTGATATATATACTGTGATATTATACTGTGATATATATATACTGTGATATATATACTGTGATATTATACTGTGATATATAAAGTGTGATATAATACTGTGATATATATACTGTGATATATAAAGTGTGATATTATACTGTGATATTATACTGCGATATATATACTGTGATATATATACTGTGATATTATACTGTGATATATATATACTGTGATATACTGTGATATATATACTGTGATATATATATACTGTGATATTATACTGTGATATATAAACTGTGATATTATACTGTGATATATAAACTGTGATATATATACTGTGATATATATACTGTGATATTATACTGTGATATATATATACTGTAATATATTATACTGTGATATATATATACTGTGATATATATATACTGTGATATATAAACTGTGATATTATACTGTGATATTATACTGTGATATATAAACTGTGATATATATACTGTGATATATATACTGTGATATTATACTGTGA